CATTTTTCCATACAGAAGTAAAAACCAGCTGCACAATAATTATTAGAATCACTCTGAAGTCTGGCTGAGTTCACTAAGATTCTGCAGACAAGATATCTCCAGTTGAAGCCTCACAAAGGCTACGCTTGCCTAAGAATGTGTATTTGCACAGAATGGATTTATGAAACAATATTTTCTTATCTGGATTTCAAGACACTTCAAAGATTGCCTGCTTGACAAAAGCTCTTGGAAGGAGCCCAGAAATCACTAACAACAGATTCTGTAAACATACTATCATGGTGAATCCTAAATACCTTCTCACTGTTTCGAGACAATATAATCCCACCCTATCCCTTTCTTTAGTCAGCTTTGACAGCCAACATTGAGCTCTTTGCTGGCTTTACATTATGAAACAAGAAAGATAATGAAAATAGAGCTGTAATGAAGAACCAATTCAGAAGGCATAATGGTGAAGAAGAGACAGATGCTTCTGGTACCATCTGCCAGCCTCTGGATATGACCTATGGGAAGGAACCTAATGGTAGAGGAAAACTCAGATGATCATAAGCATGATTCTTTACACAGAAGTTTCTAAACCTAACTGGCACTACTTGCTATAAAGATTCTCTCTTATTTATCAGGCTCTTCTTGTGAAGCCAACTTTGCTTGGCAGCTATTCTTCTCCAAAACTTGCATTTGGAAGTGGGCACCTTTCCACAGAACAGATGGCCATGAGTGTGTTCATGCTGGAAACTTAGCATCTGCATATCTAAAACCAGATTTCCTCTCCATAAAACTGTGCATGGCATAGATATTTTGTGTTCCTGGTTGGTTAAAGTCAGGTTTGTTTTAAATATCCAAAATACTTTTGATAGCAATGCAAAGTGATTTCTTGGCTCCATCATATCAGGATTGTTCACAAAGGCTACAAAGTCTGTCTAGAAAATCAAGCAGTCCTGCATGATGTATGCAGACTTTAATAAAATTCAAGACTATTTTTAATCTTCCAGCCCTTCAAGATAAGAATAGCTTGTACTGGGCTGGGGTAGGAGTGCTATGTAACATGTGAAAAGCCTCTGGGTTGTATTGAATCAATATATTACGCCTCTTCTAATTAAATATGCTCAAAATGTTACTGTTTGCCTCACAGCATGGGCAGGACTCCTGGCTCTGTCAGATTTTCCTTCTATGATATTCAAGGAAAACAGACTTTTCTGCTTTCTATACTTTAGAAGTTGATATATACTTCATATCAAAGTGCACACAACAGAAACTATTTCTTTTTCTCCAGTAGCAAAATCCACACAGCAATTCTTCCAAAAAAGGAAAATACATAGCACAGCAGGTTAAAAAGTTTCTCCACCATAAACATTTCATTTAGAAAGCAATATGGGGTGGGGGGGGGCAGTTACCTAAATTCTTCCTCCTCTTCTTGTCCTCTTTTCAATTTTTCCTGGAGTAATCTGAAGCACAGAAAGTGATTTTCCTGTTCATTGCTGCTGTCCCCACTCTCTGCCATCAACCTTGGCTATTTTATTGCTTTTTTATCTGCTTATTTCAGAAACTAATATAATGTAGTTTCTTCTGCAACAGTTGCAAGTTCTCCATGGCTTATAGGCTTTGTTTTCAATCTGAATTGCCTTTTTGTTCAGCTGGCTGTCTACACATCACACCATATACTGGCTATCCTTTGTCATAGAGATCTATACTATATGATTTCCTCTGCTTTACCACTCTTTATAGCTGGTTTAATCTGATATCAGGTTCTCTTAGTGGAAAATTGATTCTGCCAGAATACTTTGCATCCTTTAAGATGTTTTAGAGCGCTCTATTCAGAAGAAAAGAATTGCTGAACATTTGATCTTGAGCCCTTGTGGTTATGGATCTGCAGAGTTGAAACTACTACTTTATTTCTTTAACATTTCACTTTTATTTCTTTCTGGTCCTGTCTTTCCTAGGGTATCATAGAATCAATGAGTCGGAAGGGACCTAGACAG